TATAAGTGATCCGGGTGATGAGTTTGATGAGCAATCAAATGAGCAATCCAATGAGCCAGAAGTGGAGGCTGCCGAGGAGGCAGAAGAAGCGTTGGCTTCATCTGGACAGCTGAGCGAGCAGGTGGTTTTGGAATTCGAGAACATTGACGATATGGAGCCGTTGCGTCTGCAGGAGAATTGTTTTGCGGACTCCGAGCCTGAGGGCGAACTGGGTCTGACTCTGGACGCTAGTGGAAACGTTCTGGTGTTGAGCATTAAGAGCTCACCCTCCACATCATCCTACGAAACGGTTGGCAACGAATTTGCGGACATGAATGAATTAAGCCAGTTGGCCGGACCCTTAAAGCCAGCTGCCCCTGTTACTCTAAATGGAAACTTACACACAAATGAAGAAGAGCAGCAGGCAAAAAGTGATGGTGAAAAGGGTACAGAGGAAGAGGTAGAGGAGGAGGAAGAGGAGGAGGAAGAGGAGGAGGAAGAAGAAGAAGAAGAGCCTTGCAAGCAGCTCAGCAAATTCCATAGCGCCGGTGATGTGCGCGAGTGTATCGACGAGGAACATCCAGCCACAGCGGTTATCATTACGGAAGCTGCCTCTCTGGATGCACTACAGTGCGAGGACGAGCTCACTGAGGAGTTTACGTCACGAAAAACAAGTCTCATGTCGCCTATGAATGAGGATATAACAGTGGTGGCCTCTCTGGATGCCTTGCAGGAGCCGAAATCAGCATGCGTGTCGCCGGCGAGCTCGAATGGCGGCGTCTACAGCGTCGAACTGTTAGAGAACTTTGGCCTCAATCTCCACCGCATTGAGAAGGATGTGCAGCGCTGTGATCGCAACTATTGGTACTTTGGCAATGAGAATCTGGATAAGCTGCGCAACGTCATATCGACCTATGTGTGGGAGCATCTGGATGTGGGCTATATGCAGGGCATGTGCGACCTCGTCGCCCCCCTGCTCGTAATCTTCGACGATGAGTCCTTGAGCTACAGTTGCTTCTGCAAGCTGATGGATCGCATGATTGAGAACTTTCCCAGTGGCGGCGCCATGGACATGCATTTTGCCAATATGCGGTAAGGAACAATCAGCTTACATCAAATTAATAGCATCTATCTAGCTTCCTAGTGAGAAATTCGAATCAGCAATCAGTATTCTCATCAGACGTTTATTGTTAATTATTTATGTGTTAATAAGTGTACTTGACTTCTGAACATTATAACAATAAAGTCTTAGGCTATATTCCAATTTGTAAGGGATGAGTTAAAGTTTGCGACTTAGTTTTTTTTCAATACAACTATTTGCATATAAATCTTAGAAGAGTGTTCGTACAATATTATGCGTATAAGTAGAACTTGATGCGAGGCCTCAGCAATTAATTGACGTCGATTTTATGATTGTAAGAGCTTTGAATAATACTGAAAAGGGAATAGAGATGGTGTTAATATAGTTAATATATAATATATATAATATATATAATATATATAATATATATTAATATATAAATTGTATTCATAATCTCCAGTGGCATCATGGTATAAGTCAAGGATTGGGGGATAGTCTTAAAACGTCCATACTGTTTCTAACGTTGTGGAAGGTGCAAGGCATTAAGCTAGAACTGTCAGTTTTTGTGATGGAATCAGTCCCAAAAATATTTTTTGATCAAGTTGTGTTAAGTTATAGAATGTCAAGAGCTTAATAGTTTCGATTTTCTTCGTAAAACGAGGAGATTAGTAATACGTCTGTATTTTTTTTTTTACATATTTTTGTTATCCCAGCACATTAGACTGGGTGAACAGATGATTTGATGATTCTTTTCCATTTGAACGCTCGTGCTTCCCGAATGATCCCATTTTAATTTGGTCCAGTTCTGACAATGTCATCCATGAGAATCCCAAATAAGTCTTAAATTTGCATTAAGAACTATGTGCGCGATGTGATGATTTATGTTTTTGTTTGATTCAAAAGACATCATTATTGATGATATTATAATGTAAATCTGTGTTACAGATGAAACGCGGTCACGAAAGGTATTTTATGATACATATAGAGGCTTCAACTCAATAGAGAGTTGCATGATAAGGGAATCAATCGGCTATTTCTGTTTTCAATAATGAAATGTTATGGTTATTGTGGACGCATATGTTGAGAATCAGGGGCTCCAGTAATGCTTCTCAGCATCTCAGATTTGACTTTTTGAATGGTGTTCACATTGCTGGCACATGCTTTTTCCAATAGGTCCATATTAGCTTTGCTTTACTTTACTTTAGGCTAATTTTTTTTGGTTTGAATTATAAATAGTATAATGTAATTAGCCGACCACTCCTCAACAAATGCCAATTTTTATAGCCTGTACCCAAAGGGTGAAAGGCTATACTAGTTGTGTGCGAATGTATGTAATACACAGAAGGAGGCGTGGCAGACCCCACAAAGCATATATATTATTGATCAGGATGACAAGCCGAGTCGATATAGCCATGTCCGTCCGTCCGTCTGTCCGTCTGTCTGTATGAGCGCAAGGATCTCAGGAAGTACAAGAGCTAGAATAAGCAAACTTGGTATCGAGGTTCCCCTAAGCCCTAGGCAGGTCAAGTTTATTTTTCTATTCTGATACACCCCCCCCCACTCCCCCGCAATTCGTGTTTTTGTTTATGAATTCCGTAATTCTTGGAATTTTGGAATTTGAAATTTTGGTAGTTACATCCAGTTAGTGCTTTTGTGTCCGTGTGCCAAGTTTCATCATGATAGGTCAATTCTGAAGAAAGTTATAGCCATAAATAAATCGCTGCCTGCAGCTCTGCCGGCAGCGCTGTCCGCAGCTGTTGTTGTTGTTGCTGCTTTGGTTCAACTTTGTGCTGCATACATACACGCATATAAACACGCATAGACACGATGATGTAAATGTATGCTGTTAAAACTGAACATAAACATGCCTTCTAATTTAATTTAATTACTTAATTAATTAATTCATTTTTTTAATTTGAATTTTTGTGGCTATTTTACTGTCGGGCCTGCTCGACTGTAGCGTTCTCTCCTGTTTCTATATCGGTAGTTTTTATTTACCGAATTTTCAAATCTTAATCTAATTAGTTGTTTAATTAATGGCTAGTATGCCAAATTAAATGCTGCGAAAGTCTATTAGAATGGGCCTGAAGCTTGACGTACTTTAGTTTCACCTTGGCGATGTCATCTTTAACAGATCTTTATGAATATTTTCATTCCGTATTTCACTCAGTATGTTCGATTGAGGGCTTTGAATTATTTCCAAATTACTAATTCAAGCGTCTCCCCATAGCTTATAGCCATATCTCCATATTGGTTTGATGCCAAGTTGTTAACCAAAGCTTTAGTTGCTTAATTCGGACATCGGTTTGTGTTTCAAATTGCAATCTCATTCGCAAACAATATTCTTGAAATATCTTCCGTGTATAATATACGAGCATGCAAAAACGGGTGAATCTTGTGTTATGTAATTTATTTCACATCGTTTTGTGAGACTTTGCAAAGTGGAGACAGCGCAATATTCTCGGCTTTCACATACAGTTCGAATATTATTCGATCTGCGTATTTGGATTAAGTCTACTATAAGTTATGGTTTTCAAATCAAGCGGATGGATTCTAACCGGCTTGGTATGGACGGGCTATTTTAGTCCGCGACTGTTGATAATAAACAGCAGTTTGTGGCGAGAACTGAAGCCATTATTTTGAATGTGCAGCAGCAAGCATTTGGATTACTCATAAGCTCTACTATTGTACTTTGTAGTAAGTCCATGAAAGTCGCTGCTAGCAAGGATCCAATTTTTTTTATAACCTACATATATTTTTCGCAAAAAAACCACGTAGTATGTTAAGGGCAGACGTGAGCTACCGTTAAAGGTTAACGGTGTTTGTGACGCTGATTCGAGTTTCAGATTTCAGTGCGTTTGGCAATGAGACGCCAGAGACGATAGGGCTTTAATTTTAGCCTGAGGACGGGCAACGGGCTGTTGTACACTTGGCAGGCCCTATAGTTTGCGGAAGGATATTCTTTGTTTGCGACATAAGCGACACATACAGATCGTATGTAGTATGTAGGCAAGACGCTATGTTATTATGTACCCCAGGTCGCAAATCGGTTAGGAATTGTATCTTTTCCGAACTTCGTAAATACTCGTATTCTGTTTTTTGTGAAATTATATTCTTTTCTTTGTAATAAATGCTGCTTAAATAGTCAGCTTCTGAAGTTAGATACGCTTTAATTGTATTGCATTGCAGCAATATATTTTGAGTGCCTTTATGTATTAAGTGTTTCCCTTTTTTCCCGACAGCTCCCTCATCCAGATCCTCGACTCTGAAATGTACGATCTAATGGACTCGAACGGCGATTACACGCACTTCTATTTCTGCTATCGCTGGTTCCTGCTGGACTTTAAACGGGAGCTGGTCTACGATGATGTCTTTGCCACCTGGGAAGTCATTTGGGCAGCCAAGCATGTGGCTTCTGGTCATTTTGTACTATTTCTAGCTCTGGCATTACTGGAAACCTATCGCGATATTATTCTGTCCAACAGCATGGACTTTACGGACGTCATTAAGTTCTTCAATGGTGCGTAATTGTAAAGCATACGAGTATCTAATTCAAATGATGAATAAATCAATTCTTTATCACAGAAATGGCGGAACGGCACAATGCGCAGTCAATATTGCAGTTATCTCGCAGCCTTGTGCTGCAGTTGCAGACAATAATCGAGAACAAATAAGTTCCAGCTGGACAGCAAATCCTTCAAGCTGCTTCTGTGCATAGATTGGTTGCATACCTTAGGGCGTCGTAGTACTAATCTGTATCTGTATGCGTGTGTCCAGTCTGTAGAATTGTTATAAGGCTCACGTAGTTGGCACGCTGTAGGCTCAAGCACTTAAGCGCTCCTCATACGCAATATTTAGTGTGTCTGTGTGTATGTGTACTTCCATAGCGAAATGCGAATGCTTTGCTGTAGGCACCAATACTTAGATCAAGTACCCATAGTACTCTCATATATGTATGCACCCATAGATCCATAGATCCATAGATGACCTAACAAAGTTATTAAAAATGAGCGTGTGTAGATAAATGGTAATGCAAATCCGTTTGCATTGGTTGCAATTGTTCTGATGCAGTTCATACAAGTATATATTCCTACATACTACATACCATTAATACTACCTACCATTAATACGTATTTTGAGTATCTCTACCTCAAAAAGTGTCAAATTAAAATATCTACAAAATACCTACGTAGTAAAGAAGTGCAAGTATTAAACGACCCTCCTTTCCAGCACATCTGTACTCTTGGGGGTCAAAAAATGTGTCGAAGCATTGTTATCAGCTATACTTTCTTAGACCTGTACAAATGTCAAAGCAATGATCCATAACAGACAAGTAGATGCTTTACTTTTTTCAACAAGTTCGTATGAGGCTTTGATTTCTATATTTTTCCTTGGAACTCACTACTCAGTCATTTGCCATTAATGCAAACAAGATCACATAAAATGCAGGGCTAGTCTGCAATGCGATCGAAAGCATGCAGCACGGAGTTAATTGTTAAGTTGAAAGCATAACGAATCTATAAATCATTAAGAAATGTAGTGACCTGATAAACAAAACGTAAAAGAAAAAATGAAAAACGTAAAACGAATGTTGAAATATGTATTTACATATATTTTACGTGAAAATAAATAATTTATACACACCATATACATATATACATATATATACGTACATACAAATATGCACGCATTTGCATAAGAGCAGAGATGCAAGGAAGCATAATAATATTTATACCTTTTGTAAATGGAACAAATTATATTTACATACATAAATACAAGTATATCTACATAGTATATTGCATTTTAAAAACGTGCGTAGCTCATACACACAGTATTCAGATACACGCACAATGCTGTTCAACTAAATATGTTGAAAGATTTCTCATAAATACGACTATTTCCTAGCTTAAAGCCTGCTCTTTGATATAAACAATAATTGGAAAGTTAGGGAAAGAGTAACCTTATTGAAGAAGAAGAAGCCCTGGAAAACAAACCCATAGTCATAATATATGTATGTGCGAGCACAGAACTAATCCTCAAAACAAGACGAATCGATATAGCCGTCTATATCTGTTTCAATACAAACTAGTCTGTCGAATATATATTCTGTATGGCTTCATTTCTTCTTTAGTTGTTAAGCTCTCACAACCAAATTTAATATTTGATGTTTATGTTTTCGAGTTTATACACAATCGGACTCCTACTTGTATATCTGATTTTTTGATTTAATAAAATCAATATTTTATGGAACTTTTATTTCTGTCTTAGAAGACTTTTTCAATAAAACACATAAAACAACGGGAAATTTAAATCGGAACATTCAGAATATTCTTTCAATAGATGGTCTAGTATTGTGTTGATTTTCAAAATCTCCGACTCATTGTTTCAAATGTCGATTTCTTGTTAAACTAAAACACATTTTTTTCCCATCGATAGCCTCTGAAGTCATTTTGTTAATATCTGGAAACATATTCAGTCGAACAGCACTGTAGGTGTTATAGTATGTATATGTTGTGTATTTAATGAACAGATTTATTTAAACTGCAAACTTAAGTTCTAAAGTTTTAAATGCAGACTGTGCATTTCTGTTAGCTGTTGTTTGTTATTAGGAAATTTGTTTATTGTTTGGGACTGGCAGAGACATAATCATAGGTGGCAGTCTATTGATAACGAAAATCCACCAAAATAATATTCTATAGTAATCCAATAGCTCTAGTCCCCTAAGTGTGATTTAATATTTTGGAGCTCACGAAAAAGTAACATGAAATATAAAGGCTTTTATAAAATCTATTAAATAATACTAGGTACAAACATCTGAACAGACACGCATAGACTGGCATTTACCTATTTTCGAAAGTACTTAGAAAAGCATTTCGTTTGTTTCCAATAATCACAAAATTACCTGAAATGGACTGATAAACAAAACTGCGCTTTCGCTCAATTCAATTCAAATTAAATTGAACCGATATCGGGCAAAAATTCTGATTTTTGTGCAAACACAAAATTAGCTGTCCTTTGTATTTTATTTGTGTTTCAAATACAAACGGTTTCGTGGTCCTAAGATCAAGCATGGCTTTTGATTTTATAGTATGTTGCTTGCAAAGAACTTGATAAAAAGTGAATGGTTTTTAAACATTTGCAATATGTACAAGTACATACTATACTCGTAGTATCCAATTGACCTGTACACCTATAATTATGTCCTGAATTGTGTAGTGGCGCAAGGCGCTTCATAAGTAAAACACATATACAATATATACACAAAAATATACAATATCTAAAGAAAATACCATGTTGATGACTATTTATAAAGGGCGCCTGTGCGAGCGTGTGTGTGTACAAGTAAGAGAGTGTGCTGTAGTTAAAATATATAGGAAATATGTATGTATGTATGTACGCATATATATAGCAACAAAAAAACAAAAAACAAAAAAAAACCAAAACGAAATTGTGTTAATTCAGTGTTGACGAATATGTTGTAACATTTAAACAATACGAGTAGTAATTGCACGAACAGTGCAAACTAATGATAACGATAACGAGTAGGGAGAAAAGAGCAGAGCAGAGCAGAGCAGAGCTGAGCTGAGCATTTTTATACGCAGAGTTTCGAAAGCATACTTGTAGAACAAAATTAAACTCTCAGGCATCTTTTTTTGGGGCAACTGTGTATGGCACCAAAAACTCCCTCCAACGGGCTAAATGTTATAAATTAATATACATACATATACTGTATTATGTTTTAATGTTAAAATGCAAGTAGAGCACGCTTTTTGTGTACCAAAAAAAAAAAAAAAAAACAAACAAACAAACAAAAACAAAATGGGATGAGAAGGATAACGAATATTAAAAACAGAAACTAAATGAAAACAGATTTGTGATTTCTTGTTGCTTCTTTGAATATTGATATTTTTGTATAAGCTGCAATGCAATTGGGAAATAAGTTATACATATATGTAGTATGGATATGTATTATAAAATGCATACACACATACATAGTACATAAATGCATACAAACATACATGAACATAGTATGTAGCTTTGCTTGTTATATGATTTGCATGCATCCACGAACTGTCAGCGAAATAGTAGGTACGAATAGTAGTTGGACTCACACCCGATTTATTTGCAATTAGAACATGTGCTATTGTTGTTAAATAGTTTGTTAGGCGCCGCCACTCGCTTTGGCTGTGGCTTGCAGTTTACATACAGACATACATACATATATACATACGTGTACACATATATATATATAGAAGCATATATTTATACATTTTGATACACATATTGAGGAAGTTGCAGAGCGCGCCAGTTATCGGAGTAGTTGCGCAGTGCATGTTATACATACACGTACATATATATATATATATATATATATATATATATATATATATATATATATATATATATATATATATATATATATATATATATATATATATATATATATATATATATATACATTATATAAGTATATACATATATATACATACTCGCATAATAACAGTAATAAACTTTATATATTGTATTGTAATGGCATCATTATATATGGAAGTACCCAAACGCCATGTAGAGAGCATAGACATAAATACTCGCATATACATACTACCTACATACATAGCTAACCATATACTTGTACATACATGCACGTATGTATGTGCATGCATACACATACGTTCACATACACATTCACACACACACATATATGAATGTAAATCGATATATACTTACACAGCTATATAGTATACTATGCTTTATGCGGGATCCGAAAAGAACTATTTACTATACTCGTACATACATATACATATAGCAACATATAGTATGTATGTGCATGTAAGTCGGTACAATGTGTGTGTGTAGCATCAGCTCTAAAAACAATTAAACATAAAACATATACTCGTACATATGTATGTATTGCAACGACAAAACCACATGAATCGATATTTATATACAATATTAAGTGAATATAGCGCATATTTACATACGAAATATATCGGCATACATATTTATTTAACAAGAAACAAATTCAAATAAATGAATATGCAACTGTTTGAAAAAAAAAAAAAAAAACAACAACCATGTGTCTAAATATACTCGTACGTCATAAGTTTTTGCATAACCCAACAAAACCCCAATACATAGTCTATTTATCAGAAGTGTTCCAACAAGTGGTCACAAGGCTTGGAGTGGGATCGCTTTAAGGTTTGAGATGCTTCAATATTTTCTCATGTTGCTGTCAAAGCTGTCGCCAGTAGACAATGAATTTGATTTGACGAGTTGTATTGATTTCCCATTTCCCGAAACGAAGAATAACAGACCACGTGTTATACTTGCACTCAGCCTGAAGAGATGAATCCGAATTCCGACGTCTGTCTGTTTCAATCACATTTATTCAAAGTTCTACTGTTTATTATGGCTGTCACAAAAACGAAAGTTTTTGCATTTCCAACTTTTCGCCAATTAAGAGATTGAAAACAAAATCCATAGTAAGTAGTATGTTGTTGCCTAACTTGAAATAGCTTATGGCCTAACTCAACTTGAACGCCCTTGAGCTTAGACAATTTTCTATCATTCAGAAATACTTTTCTTAAGTAAGTATATATGTACATATTGAGAAATTCCAGCTCCTTTCATGGATTAAGATGGAAAAAGAAACGAAACTTCTGAAAATTTGAGCTTTTCGTTTTTAAGCTCTCTCTTGTATTTATTTGTATATGACATTATTTGTATAATCGTCGTTGCAAATAAATAATAATATTTCCTAAGGTGCGTTTAAAACCTACAATAAATAATCATTGTTTTATAATTAATTATTATACCCTGTACCCGTAGGGTAAAAAGGGTATATTAGGTTTGTGCAAAGTATGTAACATGCAGAAGGAAGCATCTCCGACCCCATAAAGTATATATATTCTGAATCAGCATGACGAGAGAAATCGATCTAGACATGTCCGTCCGTCCGTCTGTCCGTCCGTCTGTCCGTCTGGATGAAGGCAAGGATCTATAAAACTAAAAACTATAAAAGCTAGAATAACCAAAGTTGGTATCCAGATTCTCCTAGGTCGGAGAATTTTATTTTATTTATTTATTATTTATTTATTTTATTTTTTGGAATTTTGTGGTATTTGTGATTTTCAGATATTATTTTCTTGTCAATAATATTAAGTTCCTTTCTAATGTGCTTGTTACCCTGATGGATTAGATTACTTGTAGGAGTTGTTCTAAATTCTAAAATAAACGTATTGTTTTCGTATAAAGTAAAATAATATTAATGGCCGCTAAAGAAAGATATTATAGATGCATGTATGGGAACCAACATTTTATATATATATTTCCTTTCCTCTCATCGACTATCGAATGGGAAAAGGTTCTGTAATATTTTTTTTCGAGAGCAAATAATTGATTTTCAAAATAGTTATTGAAAACGCGATAATTTGATTTAAAATCCGAAACCATATTGTTACATACTTTGCTAAAACCTGATATAGCCTTTTACCTTTATACATACTATATATTATATCAGTATAGTGTGCTGACACCATGTGCTGATGTTTTCGCCACTACATGGACTATCGTTCATGAGAATTTGTTATTAGAGATGTATTATTATAGTACTTTTGTACATTTCATGTACAGAGTATAATTACTTGAATTTTGTAAATGATTTTTTCTGAGAATTTTTTATCTAATACTAAGTTCTCAGCATTTTCGTAACTGAACGTCTCTTTTATTCTTATTTTTGTGTTTTCATGCCTTTTTGAAATAAAACGACCCCGCATGGTTGCGAAATCGTAATATGAATGGGGTGCATCAGAAAAAATGAACAAACTCGTCTTTTCTCGGGCTCATGAGAATCTGGATACCAAGTTTAGTTATTCTAGCTCTTATACTTTCTGAGATCCTTGCGTTCATACAGACAGACAGACAGACGGACAGACAGACAGGGCTAGATTGACTCGTCTTGTCATGCTGATTAAGAATTTATATACTTTGTGAGGTCTGCCACGCCTCCTTCTGCCTGTTACATTTTTCAGCTGGCGCAAACCAAATACACTTGTACTCTTGTAGATTTCATGTACAGAGTATAAAAACGAAAGACCCTTTATTTATTTTAAATGTTATAAGTCTTTAAGACTATTGAAGCCATTCCTTTGTTGTTTTTTTAAATTTACGATAATACCCTCCTTATAATGCGTTCATACTTTCCGACTCAAGCTTCCTATAGAGTTGTGCTATTAGAAAAAAAAAAAATGTATGCAACCACGCTCAAAAAAAAAAGATTGCAAGCTTGAGGGTTAAAGGCGTTAGAATAATACGTTCGTAGCTGGACTGAGTGGCACATGCACAGCACGTTTGATGACTCAGACACCTACACACATGGAGTAATGAGTATTTTGTTGGCGGGCAAGCTCGGCTGAAACATTCCCTCTTGGATTATTAGGTTATACTTGTATGTATATAAAATGCTACAAACAGAAGGAAGAATCTCCAACCGCATAAAGTACGAGTTTGTTCTTAATCAGGGAAACGGCCGAGCCCATATGGATCAAACTTGGTATGTAGGCTGGTTTTCAATTTGGTGGTTTCCCCTAACTTACTAAAGCTTCATTTTGGTTCTGATATACATATAACACAGCGGTGGAAATTTGTTTAAGTTCAGGGGCCTGCTGGACTGTTTGAGTTTTTTATTTGCGCCAAATGTAATGGAAAACGGAAATGTTAAATTTTTGAGACAACAAAAAGCTTGGATATGCATTTCAAAAGATGCATCAACATAAAATTCGAAATAGTTAATGAATCCAAAATAGTCTTTGCATATAGGGGGAAGCTAACAGGGGCTTATAGCCTGGCCTTAAGCTATAAAATAAAAATAAACTATTATTTTTACGCATCGCGCATTATTTAATCAAAATTGTAATATTTTGGCCCTCCCTTTGGAAAAAGCTGCGTACGATGTTTGTACATAAGTACATCTATCGGTACTGTCTTATTGCAGGTCCTGACAAACTAATTAAAAACCTATCACATCAAGTCCTCTTTAGCTTAGATTCCCACAAGCTTGCCGAACAATGCCGAAATCTTCGTTGCCCTGCAAGAACCACCGCAAAGCCACCGCGCAGGCCCCCATTCCCGCATTCCCCCGACCACATCCCATTATTCCAGCTGTGCAGCATGGGCCGCCAAGGGAAAGTGGCGCCACCTGTGCCTTGATACAGCCAAAGAAACGAGAACAACAAAGAAACACGGGCGAAATATCTAAATAAGATATACAAGTATTTGGTACACACGAAACCAAAGTGTGCAGGTTAGGCTGCGAGGGCGACTAGCGCGCAAACGCACTGGAGCAACAGTAAGGCATGACAGCGCCTCTCCAGCACACCCCGCGGCGTGTGGACGGACAGACGTTTATGGCGGCTTCGTAGTAGTCCTGTTGCTTTTTTGGGGCCAAGATTTCGCTTCACAATGCGACGTCAGCATCGCACAAATAAAATGGGCCAGGCAGGCAGGCAGTGGTTAGGGCTGTGCGAACGAGACGGCAATGCCACAAATACACATAAAGCTTACGAAAAGCATTGGAATTTGTTTGTGTTAGAGATGGCAGCGATACAAGTCACGCACCGATCGAACTACCTTGTACTTGTATAGCAGTATAATGAAGTTGAGTTTACTTTATTACCTTATTTATTTATTTGTATGCCCTATACCCAAAGCGTTAAAGGGGCTTGCTCGACTGTAACATTCTTTCTTGTATATTTCTACGATATTATTATAGTATACATATTTATTTTATTTAGCTGTTATGATAAAAACGTATTTTATCTGCATATTTATGTACATACGAGCACATTTATAATAATTGGAGAATTTAAATGATTAACTCGATTAAACAGTTTTGTAACGTAATATCCATCTACCTCGCAATTACATCCCCCTTTGAATTTTAAAATTGCGTTAAACATATTTTCGAAAGGTATTGGTAATAATACACGAATAGATCACAGTCTGAAAGTCTATTTGTAGCATATGGGAAGAGTATTTAGAAGATAATTTTGTAAATACTTCATTTGTGCATTATGACATTACATCAATATTTCCGAGGATTACCTATCAATAAGTAAATTCCAACATCAATCAGATGCTTACAAAACTAACTAAGAATGGCAACCAAGAGTTCTCCCATATTTTACATGAGAATTAACAATTCGTTAGAATTTTTATATTTTTAACGTCCTATTTAATTATTCAAATTTAGCTACATCTAGTACTAGCTATGGAAAATCACGTATAGCTTAGGAGTGAAAGGGTCATCAGAAAAAAGCACAAGCTTGGCCTTTCTCGGACTTGGGAGAATCGACTCGTCTTATAATACTAATCAAGACTATAATTACTTTGTTCGGTCTGTCTACTAAACAGTAGATGGACTGACAAACATGTATTCGCAAAACAAGAAGCATTCAGAACATAAGTCTGTTAAATATTTCTTCCAGCTCTATTTTCATTTATAGTTGATTTAAACATAATATTTACAAAGAACATCCTTCTTATCAATAACAATGGTTAAAGTATAAATGAAGAGAATTATTTCGTTTATAGAATTGTCACGATGCCGTCTCTAATTGCCTTTACGGCTGCGAGCGTTACTGTGGTTTTCGTTGTTGCTGCTGCTTGGCGGGTCCGGTGAGAGGCTTGTAATGTGTGGGAGGTTGCAGCAACAGCAAGAGCAACAACAACACCAACACCAACACCATTAGCAACACCAACACCGTCAGAAACAGCAACAGCAACAGCAACAGCTTCGTTCATCGACCATTTCGCCTGTAGCTTCTGGTGCTGGCTCTGGCGCTGGCGCTGGCTGCCTTGGCTTTCAGTTTTACTTTTGAGTTGGTCGCGTGCGCACGTTTCTGTCGCATTTGCCGTGCACAGCATTTGCCTCACAGCCTGTGTTCACTGCCTCGCTGCTTCGTTTATTCGTTTGTTCGTTCGTTGGTTTAGTTGGTCGGTCAGTCAGCCAGTCAGTCAGTCAGTCATTTAAACGTCAAGCTGGGCAGCCGCTCCCTTGCAGCAGCAGCAACAACAACCGTAGCATAAATTCTATGCCAAATTCTTGTGTACGGTGTAGTGCCGCTTAGTACTTGTGGCACTTTCGCTTGTTGCTACTGTTGTGGCTCCAATTCCTGTACCTGTTTTTTTGTGCTTTTTTTTGTTGTTATTATTATTGCTCTGTGCTTCTATTTTGCCAGCGGCAAATGGCAATTTATTTATGAAGCAGCCGCCACAGCAACGAGTAAATAAATGAGGAGCAAAACTCAAACTTAAAATGCAAGCTCAGGAGCCGAACTAAAAACTTGAGAAAACTTACGGCCGGATCGCATGTGCTGTTCTGTTCAGTTCTGTTTTTGATGTGAAGGGCCCTGCGAACTCGCTCCTTAAATATTGTTGTTGCGGTCATTGTTATTCTCGTTGTTGTAGTTCTTCTGCTGAAACGGTAAACACGCCAAAGCAAATACGAGCATGCAGTGCGTTTAGTTAAAGCGTTATTATTGTTAATGCGTATACATATATATTACGTATACGCAGTGTAGTTGACGTACTTTTTGTGCCCTTCCAAAACGCTACACCGCGCTACATTGTAGTACACATTTATATATACATACTTATATACGTATACATATGTATGTACATGTATACATGTATGCATATACATAAACCACACAGGCAATACCCGTTTGAGCGAGGAAAGGAAGGAAGGAAGGAACGTAGGCAAGCGGCAGGCGGCAGGCAGGCAGACAAACAGACAGACAGACAGATAACAACGTTTTACGCGCGCGTGTTGCTCGCCGTATCTATGTATGTACGTGTATGTGTGTATGTGTCTGCGTGCGTGCTTATGTATTTGTTGCGTTACACGCATTGCTGAAAAGCTCACAATCGTCGTCTTGTCGCATTGAACTTTGCCATAAGCAGCAGCAACAACAACATCAACACAAGCAGCAGTAGCAGCAGCAGGAGCAGTAAACGAAGCCAAAATGGTGCAAACCACTGCAGGTAAACTTTTGCCTTTTGATTATCTCCACACATTGTAAATAATTGCAGAAAACAGTGGAGCGGCGCGATTCTTCGCGAAGTGTGAAATACGAGAAATGCTCGCACCCCCTCCCCCGCCAAAAGCTCCACACTTTGCATTTGTATTTGTATCTCTACGTGTAATGTACACAGGTACATATATGTACATATACATATGTATATACATATGTATGTATAAACATGTGTCTGTTAAATATATGGCATCATGTGAGTGCCTACTTTCGGGCGCATTTATGTGCGTATTTTCACAATTTTGTTGCGATCTAATATGCAAATCAAAACTAGCTGTCCCCCACAAGTATTTTCGAGCATTCTACTTGTACTTGTAGTTGTCTGCATAGTTTATAAATATTTGCCCAAATGCCCACTAAAATCGCTTTAATTGACTAACAACAAATGCAGGCATATACTTGTACATACTTGTACAAGCATTGAAATAGGAGCAGATGGACTTACATATATAGACATATGTACATATATTGTATGCTCTGGTGAAGCAAATGCGATTAAATCAAAGAAACGCAAGCACAGCCTACCCAAAATATTTACTCAAAACAAGGCAGAATGCCACAGTCGAGCAAATACCCTGTACTCTGACAAACTTTCGACGCCGTGATAAATACTAGTTAGCGTTGTTATCAGCGCCCATAGCAGAAGCAAAAAGAAGAAGAAGAGTGAACTCAAAGCTGCAGTTTGTGGGCGTAGTACTAGAGTAACAAATTTTCAGTAAAAACTTATCTTAGAAAGCCCGATTTCAATAAACCAAAATGAAACAAAGGCAGATAATTTTATATTAATTACGCGTGCAAAGTTTAGTTTTGTAGCTTCGAAATTGTGGACAGTATTGACGAAAATGTATAGCAAAAATAAAAAATAATGGTCTCCATAACAAGTTGGGTCAATGTGGACTAAGCTGTTTCCGAAACCCAGACATTCATGCAGACGACGTGTCGTCATGCTGATTGGGAGTATATTTCCTATACAATTCGACCCTGCTTACTTTGGCACAAATCTAATGTACCTTTTTACCCTTCGGATACAGGGTATAAAAATGCCAACCAACATTATTCTAATTGAGTATGAAAAATATATAAAAAAGATTTCCAAGAGTGAAACCTTTCCTTCCGAATTATTAGTAATTGACAAACTGCATATGTAAGTATTCTTCATCATTATGTCGAGACGATATGTCCGTCACTCCCCAATAATAACCAATCTTGAATACCTGGCATGTTTCGTTTGAAAAAGGACAAGTTTGTGTTTTTTCAGGTATGCATCCGCTATTAATGACTTTTCATAATTCATAAATTACAATTACAATAACTATAATCATGTAAGGTTTCCAATTATTACATCCGTTAATCTGGTAGCCAAATTTATACATTGGTTTTCGTTTTAAGCTGAGTTCTAGGTATTAAATATAAAACTATTCTGAATATAACAATGTATCCATCGCAATCATTGTTGTTATAAATCTGAATGAAACGAAGAAGAATTGTAGCTTTATCAAACGTACGCATGCACTCTCCCACTTGGAGAAAGTTTTGAAATGCAAGCTTCTATATATTGCAAGGTTAAAAGTTTATACAAGCCGACCTACTGATTAAAATTATAAGTAAAAACTTTCCACGGCTTATCCAGTCACCATAATATACTATACTATCTATACACAGTCCGTAACAACCCAAACTTTTTTTCAAAGCATTCAAATACACAACTACAAAGAAAAATATTTTAAATATTGTTGTGAAATAAAAAGGGAATCTTTGATGTCCCCGATATATGTCTATAATATCGACTTCAAAAGGGCGTTCTGACATAACAATAATATCAATATGTCTATACTTCTAATCTGAAATTAACAATTTACTCTTAATGGTACCCGGGTCATTTAAAAAAATATAGATCTATTTATATATAATTATGATATTTGATATTATTAAAAGATATCTAAAAGAAAGCGTTCGATCTAGAGCAAGAGATACATATATCTTTCAATGCCCTCCATACTGCACTTATATACTTCTCAAAATCGTTATCCTGTACAATTGCCTCCAATCAGACCCGTACTTAGACGTCTGGCCACACCACAATTTTGTATTAGGTCCAACATTCCATACATATGGTAGACAAGTTTTTAAATTGAAAGTTTTAAATTAAACTGCAAATATTATGCCATTATATTCTCTTTATTTTATGGATTAAATAAGCGGCAACCTTTTATTGTGCTCGTACCCAGCTGCTGGAAATTTCTGAATTAATATGCGAGCTCATGAATTTTATAAGCCCCAGTAAGCTAAGCAGCTGAGAAAAAAGTTGCTCATACTCATATATATGAGTATGCAATCCTGAAATTGTTCATGCAAATATAAGGGGATTATAAAATTTACGATTGTGCAGGAGCATGAACATCAAATATGTACAAAGATGCTTTGTGTTGGCAAACAGGTGAGCCGTGAGCATGTGCGAGTGACATTCCGCAGCAAAAACACTAACGGGTTAAATATTTGCATTCAGCTTACAGCGAACGCATTCCCAACAAATGCCGCAAAAATAGTCGCAACGCCTCCCCCTTCAGTTAGAAACTTGAAAGTGTTTCGAGAGCAACAGTGACAATTATTTGTTTGCGAATACTGTTAAGATTATGTGTAGTAGAAATAGTTGTGTAGTAGAAATAGTTGCTGCACCATTCAGTATTTTGACTACAATCACAATCGCAATTCTACAGTACAAACACATATAGTATTTATATACTTGTGTTATCCATTTGGAGGAATATTTATCTGAGAGAGTGTTTTTAAAACATTGAATTGGATTTAGAGAACACATGTCTCATTTTGCCGAACAAACCAGAAAGGATTTATCTTTCAACAGCATATCAAATTAAATTAATAATTTATGAGCTAAGAAAGTTTTTTTCATTATACGTTACAAGAAAAGCCCCGAAGATTGTGCCAGATTTAAGAGTATTGTCTGTGTCCTTTAAAATTGTGGGTAAAGAAGTGATCGAAAGATATGCATTCAATACACCCGTCCACATTCCAGCGAATACAAATAAAGACAAATGATAACTACACAAAGTATTTACATACTATTTGTCAGAGTTTTCAAATCTTATGATGATTTAATTTCAATTCAAGTGTGGCTCTTTTGGAAATATAATATGCTTTACATTTGGAAGAGCTGATAAAGGCATTTTTATTTCTTAGACAAATATAATATTTGTGTACATTTTTTAATTTCTATACTACTCAATTAATTCATGTAAAACCTAATCATGAAATGAACAATTTAGTTGGAATTCGAATGCAAAAGGTGCCTATTTGCCCAACACTTGGAGTCTGAATAGTATAGTATTTGTCTTTCCAACGATGAATGTTTTTATATCAGCTTTAGGAAAACTACTTGAGTACTAACTGGATGCAATAGTCAATGTTTTGATTGTACATTTAATGCCTCTTTATTTTAAAAATAGTTCAATTGATATCAGTGATGGATGATGGATGAAAAGTCTATCTTCTTCTGCAAATGTTTGAACGCATTCGTTAAGCGCAGGTAAATATAAGTAATCGGGAAAAAGAAAGACTATGGTACTATGGTTATTTTTCAAGGTATCAAATGCATTGTTTACGATTTGATCAGGCATATCAAATGTTGGCATAAAATGTTGCCTACTTTTCAGCTGAACTTAAAGCATTCTTTTCAAACACTTCTTTGGACACCACTGGGGTATATTTAACTCCTTGAAGAACGTCTTAGACGTGAGATACCTTTACTATTTGACACTTATCAAAACTAGTTGATTTTAAATAAGGATAAAGGCATGCCAACATATAATGTGTATATTAAAAATTCGTTATAATAGTTGTTAAATAATTGAATATGAATTGAAAACTATGCCTCACTGTCGTTCATTTAATTAAACATACTCTTAATTTATAATTAATAATATATTTTATTGATATTTATATTTAAAGAGCATAGCTTATTAGAATTAGTTTTAGTCAAAAAGTGAGCTACAGCTCACCCTACACTTATATGAACATACACCTAGCCCCACCTTCCCCCGCATTTATTTATCACGAAGAATGCTTAAGAAAAAATATTAAAATAATAAGCAATAACAACAAATATTAAAAAAGGATTGATTTAACAGGGTTTTCTAAAAAACTAACCCTTTTGCCTGAGTGGTCAGAAACCTAAGAAAATGATTTTAAATATTACTAAAGGATAATATAATATAAGTCCTAGTGCAGCCATGTCAAGACTCTTTCTGTCAGAAAATAAATAACTTTTTGAAAAGAAAGAGAACTCTTAGAAATTGCTTATGATACACACACACTCACACGTATATGTACATGCGAGTATGTAGATAGATAGCCAGATTTTATGCTAGTATAGAAGTATATATCGCATTTCTTGCTCTCGTGTGTGTGTATAAAGGAGTATATAATAATATGTCATTGTACATACAACCAAAGTACATCTGTTGGCTGTCAGTTTCCTTTTGCATCATCTGCAGGATACATTCCTGTGCGGCCATTGCGTTCGCTGCGTCCACTTTTCTAGTCCCGTTGTGCACGCACATGTGAGGCATTTATGACGCACATAAAAACGCCCTAGCAGCTTTGAGAGTAGGGCGTCAGAGCCACACATGCCATGTGCCGCTAGCCTAATTCCTCGAGCTTCCACGCCAATGTTGCACTTTGACGCACATTGCTGGCGCATATATTTTTATTTATATTTTTGGAAAAGAAAACACGAGCGCACCTTTCAAATTCTGTGCAGCTACGAATAGTTTTTGATTGGCTGATCCAAAAGGAGAAATGTACACAAGCAAAGCAATTGTTTTTAACGATTTCAAAAAAGGCCATAAATAAACCTGAAGAAAAGCTATTCGAAGGTAGGAGCAATCGCTGATTTGCAAATTTCTTTAATGCCTTATACTATCGCCGATTTAC